TCAATGTGATACAGTCTCTGATTGTGTTACTGTACATTATGGACAATGAAACCAACACAGTGGTCAAGATCAGTGTCTTTGTTGGGCTTTGTATTGAGATTTGGAAAATCAACAAAGTGGTCACTACAAAAGTAAGTTGTTGAAGATGTTACTGACATAGAGACAGTCCTACACTTGGCTTGTTGAAGATAATACTGACATAGAGACAGTATATTGTTGTATAATTTATAGCTGATCTATCTCTTCATTTCTTCAGATTGACAGAGAAAACAAACTGTTTGGTGTAATCCCAAGATTAAAATTGTCAGAGAAATCTACATACACAGAATCACATACAAAAGAATATGACATTGTAAGTACACAGAACAGACTTTTGGTGTCCAATTGTTGACACAAGACTTTATTAGTGATTATGTTTATGTAAGATCTCAAACTGGAACTTTGTCACTTTATATCAGTTGAGAAGGAAGACATTTTTTAAAATTAGAAAATAAGACAAACTTGTGGGAAGAGTTCTGACTTATACTTAACTATAAAGACCTTGCTGCAATTTTTTTTTTTGCAAAGCTATGGCCTATCTCCCCACTGAGGGAGCAGTTCATGGCCTTTCTCACCTGTCTCTCTTCAATTGTAAGTAAAGTTCACTTTCAGACCTTGTGATCTATGAGGCAGATGATGTAAAGGTCATCTGTTCCTGCGGCCTATGGTTAATGAGAGTGTCATGTGGCCAGCACAACAACCGTCTTTGCTTTTCCCCAAAGCTGGGAGGACTCAGAAGTAAAAAATCCCAGTCTGCATCAGGATTCAAACTCGGCATCCCCGGTTGGGAAGCCAATCGCTTTACCACTCAGCCACCACACCTCCTCCTTTGTAACTTGAACATATTTCTGAACTCACTTTGGAAAGTTAAGTTAGTGAAATTGTTTTACTTTTAACAAATGTAATTAGAAGATCTGGGCTTTTCTTTTTTCCTCACATCTAACAACTATGTGTTCATCAATTAGAAGATCTGGTTTTTTTTTTTCTTCCTCACATCTAACAACTTAACAAATGTACTTAAATTTTAGATAGCAACGTTAGCTTTCTGATACAAGTTAGATTTTGATTCAAAGTATAGATAGCAACTTTAGCTTTCTAATACAAGTTAGATTATTTTTTTATTTTTAAAGTCGCAGAATTTGAACGGCAAAGATGGTAATCCCATTTGCCTCTTATTTAACACTTAATCCAGGCTATGAAAACACACCTACTCTCATTTGCCAATATTAGTTGAATTGATGAGATCACAAACTAATTGATGAACACAGTAAAATGTAGAGCATATAATTACATAGACATAGTGTATAGTTGAAATAAAAACAAAGCTGTTGTTTCACTGGTCTTAGTTCTCTAACTTTTTTTTTTTCTATGCTTTTTTCCTATAAGAAATGTTTCCAGACTTAATTTTGTCTGTTTGGTAGCTCATATTTAGTGATTAAATCTCCATGGTTACCTGGGCTGATTTTTTACAGTTTCAAATCAAGAGGCCCGTATAAGACACTGGCCCCAAAACACCCCAATAGAAAGAAAACTATATAGAGAGCTCCCTGATTTGGAAACCACTGCGCAGTTCATCTCATGCTTTGGTCCAGTCATCTGAACACTCCAACATAAAAATAAAGAAGAAGAAGAAGGAAACCACTGCACAGTTCATCTCATGTATTGGTCGTCATCAGAACACTCTAACATAACAATGAGAACGAAGAAGAAGGAAACCACTGCGCATTTCATCTCATGTATTGGTCTAAGCATCTGAACACTCCAACATAACAATGAGAACGAAGAAAAAGGAAAACACTGCGCAGTTCATCTCATGTATTGGTCTAGTCATCTAAACACTCCAACATAACAATGAGAACGAAGAAGAAGAAGAAGGAAACCACTGCACAGTTCATCTCATGTATTGGTCGTCATCAGAACACTCTAACATAACAATGAGAACGAAGAAGAAGGAAACCACTGCGCATTTCATCTCATGTATTGGTCTAGTCATCTAAACACTCCAACATAACAATGAGAACGAAGGAGAAGAAAAAAATCAATAGTAAATTTATTACAATTTTTTTTCTTTTTTAAATAATGTTCTGTTATTTTGTTTTTCCAGATGGCGTTCCGTTATCTCTCTTGGTTGTTGTATCCTCTGTTGGGTGGCTATGCAGTTTACTCCTTAGTGTACCAGGAACACAAGGGCTGGTACTCTTGGGTACTTAGCATGTTGTATGGATTTCTCTTAACATTTGGTGAGAACGTTTGTTTCATTGAAGAAATGTGGTGAGCTTTGTGATGTGTTTATTACTGGGATGTTTTTCTATCTAGACGATTCAAATACTTTCATATTTAATCTTCGAGGGATAAGAAATTTTGCATATTTGATTAGTTAGGGGAAATAAAAGATGTTTAAAATGACCTGTGACATTTTAAAGTGGATTTGACATTTGGTACAATTTAAAAAATAAAACTTGCCACTGATATTTAGAAATCTTGTTCATTGAGAGATTTAATTAGGAAATTTTATAATGAAAACATATCAATGTTATAGAAGCTCTGACTTTCTAAAGATTATTTAAACTTTTGTCAGCAAAGAGTAACTTATCTGTTCCACTTGAATGAGACAGTATTGTTAGAAGACTGGGGATGAAACACTAACTGAAACTTAAGTTAATTCAAACACAACATTTAAAGTGAAGTGTCCATTAAGAGTCGAGCTTGCGCCCTTTTATGATGCTTGACCTAAGAGAAGGATATTTCCAGGAGGCTAGGAATGAGAGATTGGCTCTTCATCAACCCCTCTGTCTGGAGGTCCCCCATCAAGTAGATGATCATTTAATCACATCAAACGGTGAGGCTGGAGGCAAAGAAAATGAGAGAATTCTTCATGTTCCTATACTGTACTGCCACTAACAGTGAAAGAGCATTCTCTGCAGTGTATTGCCTCCATGAGGTGTGGTAAATGGGACAGTTTGGCAAAGCCTATCTTACATCCTCTCCGCATGTAAAGCTTGTTTGCTACTACGTGCTGTTGGAGCCTACTGGGGGAAATGTTTCCTTTCCTCTTAGTCTATCTATCTCCCCAATCAGACATTTCCGTGAGGGCACCATTATAAGGTCAGAGAAAGTACCCTTATAAGAATAGGCAGTTTTTCTGAACATATCAAAACTAAATTATTGAAAAGAAGAACAATCAGATTAAAACAGGTGTAGCTTCTAAAATAGAGACTGCTATGTTTTGTATTCTTGTGAGTTCCTGTTTCACAACTGTTGTGTTATTTGTAATTCCAGACTCTTATGACAAAAACTATTTAAGGCTCTTATCAATTTTATTTCCTTTCTTTTTGAATTTAGGTTTTATAATGATGACTCCTCAGTTATTTATCAATTACAAACTAAAGTCAGTGGCTCACCTCCCGTGGAGAATGCTCACCTACAAAGCTCTGAACACATTTATTGATGACATTTTTGCCTTTGTTATCAAGATGCCCACATTGTACAGGCTGGGCTGTCTCAGAGATGGTAAGGCTTGTTGAAAATATGGTTTTGTAGCATTCCATAAGCTTTTTAAGATAAAGACTTAAAGCAGAAATGATTCCTTTTTCTTCATTTTTACAACTATTATGGAAAATTTTAATTTCAATTAGGGTAATAAAAATTAGATTTTGATAGAGTATTGTATACCACGTTGTGCTTAATCGTAATTTTTTCAAATGGTATTTATGTTTTGAATATTTCTGATGTTCTTTCAATATTGAAGCCCAAACCTCCTGCTAGCATTCAAACCCAGGACCATCAAGACATCTGTCGAAAGCGCATATCATAGATCATTAAACTCATAGCAATGCTTTACAAATAGTTATATAAACCAACTCACATTTTCTTCTTTATGTTATTGTTCTATCAAAGTTTTTTAAAAACGTTTAACTGTGTACAAAGCTAGACTCTGAAACATACTTGATTTTGGGATGACTTCATTATTGTTGTCTTGTGTTTCAGATGTGATTTTCTTCATCTACCTGTATCAAAGGTATATCTACTTTGTCGACCCTAAAAGGGTCAATGAGTTCGGCACAAGTCAGGAGATGCTGGAGACCAATGGCCAAGTCATCTCTGAAGGAAGTGGCGACGGCTCTCTGGAAATCACAGAAGGGGAGACGTCTGCAGATACCGACTTAGCTGGGGAGAATGGCTTCATACCAAAGCCTGATGCAGACAAGAAGAATGAATAAATGTTATGTGTGTAGTGTATTTGTAGACTGGTATTTGTATTTAACAGCAGGCTGTTGAGTTCAACAGGCTGTTGTATTTAACAGCAGGCTGTTGAATTTTGTAGCTTACTACAAGCTGTTGTGTTGTTGAATTAATTCAATGGAAACAGCTGTTGTGGCTAAATTAGAACCATTCAGTTCTTACGTATTTTAAATTTATCAGCATAAATTAATCAGAAAATCATTTGAAACTCAGTGGAGTTATTCAGGGAGTCAGGCATGTAACAATACTAGACTGTTTCTATCAGTAGGATATGTTATATTTACAATGTTTTCATTCATCAGAACAAACCCACAACAAAGTTTTATAGAAGCATTTTGTCCAAGTCAGAATTTCATCATACCTAGGTCTCACGTGAAATAAAAAAGTTCTTAGGAGAGGGGTGGGCATGCCCTATTATGGAAGAGGTAATTCTGTAATTACATTTCTAATTTGTTGCTGTAAAATTAAAACTATAGATCTCTTGTCAGCTAGTAGAATTAACAAAAACAAACTGTATATAATCTCTTGCTAATTAGAAGATGAATGTGATATTTAGACTTTGTTTTTCATTGACTTCCCTCCCCTAAGTGTTCAGAAATCCTCTTCTGTAGTTGGCTGCATGTTGAGTGTCCTCAGTTGGTTTAAAATTATTATGTGAGAGTAGGTTGTAGTCTGAAAGGTACCTGGGTGGAGTTGAAGTGTGCCCCTTCCCTCCTTGTTGTACAGAGATAATACTTTAATGTCTTGTGATTTGATGTGTTGTCTGGACACATGATATGGGGGCTTGGTGTTCAGCTCCCCCCAAGTTGTACAGAGATAATACTTTGGTGTCTTGTGATTTGATGTGTTGTCTGGACATGATAGGGGGGGCTTGGTGTTCAGCTTCCCCTTACCCCAACCAATGTCTATACAAGTCTTTCTGGTTCTCCATCTTGTGTTGTAAATATATCTATCACATAATCTACCAATCAAGTGCAAGTAGACTTGCATTGTAGAGTTAAACAAGAGCTATTCATATTTTCTAAGTTATAAATACATTGACTAATGCGCATGTCCATGTGTCACCAACACAACTGTTGCATAACATGGAAGAAATGTTCACATTTGATTTGGAAGAGCTTACATGGTAACTAAAGTGACTTGTGTGGCAGCGATGAATCAGAGCTAGCATGGTAACTAAAGGGACTTGTGTGGCAGCAATGAATCAGAGCTAGCATGGTAACTAAAGGGACTTGTGTGGCAGCGATGAATCAGAGCTAGCATGGTAACTAAAGTGACTTGTGTGGCAGCAATGAATCAGAGCTAACATGGTAACTAAAGTGACTTGTGTGGCAGCAAAGGCATTAATGAATGAAGTGTTTGAGCCTGTGTGATTGACTGTGTTGTTCTGTTGTCTCTCTCACTTACACACACACACACACCATCATTTGTTGTTAACCATTGTTGTTATTAAATATGTGAACCCTAGAGACCTTATGTTCTGTATAATAAAAACTATGTGAATAAATTTAGTTGAAACTCAAAATTTGTCTCAAGTCAGTTTAATCGTGTGTTAGTTTTTCAGCCTTTTGATATCAACTGCCAAAATGAGTTTTTTAAAAAATATATATAGTTTACACTAATTGTCTTGTCGTGACGGTTAAAATGATTCCATTCATTGTAATCTACAATGTTGTCTAATTGTTTTGTATACTAAAATGTCACACATTTCAGAGACAAATTTGAAATAGAACAAATTCACTCAATCAAATTGTTTTGTATTAACATTTTTAAATATATATATATATGCTTCATTTGGATAGAAATTTTTATCACTGGAACGTCCATTGAAATTTCTCAGATATTGCTTGTACAACCAATTAAGTTGGCACCAATGTTTTTTGTATTTGTATACTAGCGTTTGACAGTTTAAAATGTACAAATTGACAGCAAGGTCAAGAGTTATGTGACATAAACCAAACAAGGCAGACATGAACTAGTACTAGTCATTCATGATATTAGTGTTATCAAGCAGTGTTAGCTTCCTTTGTTAGACAAAAGTGTTTGCTAGGTACCTGTAGGATGTGTGCTTTATTTAGATGTTAGCCAACACATTTTGTTCTCTCTGTAATTGATGTGAGGAGCTCATGGACTTGATGTTCAATAAACAATATGAATGAATTCTTGACTTTGAACTGTTCTTGAACGTGTGTCACGTTGAGATGGAACAAAACCAGCCCAGTGTTCATTTATTTTCTGGGAATCCAGTATTTTGTTCAATTTCATTTTAATGTTTCTGTTGCTTAAGATAGTAAAATGTATCAGAATTAACTATGAATTGGTTCAAGTGTCCAAATGGGTGGAGGCAGAGAGGGGTGCTAAGAAAAAAAGGGGTAAAGCAACATATAATATAAAGAATCAACTGTTAATGCATAGACTGGGGGGTCAGGGAAAGGTAGGTAAGTCTTTACAGTTCAAAAGCTATTCTTTGTTTGAGCATCCAAATTATATTCCCTTAAGAAATAACTGGTTCTCAATGACCAGTTAGTGTACTTATGTCAACTAAACATGTCAGACTGGGAAGTGAGGTCAAACACAGGCACACAATCTTCATATTTAATGATTAGTTATTTTCAGTTGATAAGTCTTCCTCTTCTGTTCACAGATGACTTTCTTTAGACCCATAATTATATGGATAGATTAAGTGAAATAAATCAAAGATTAGCACATTTCTTATATAATACAGACGTTACTTCAAAAAAGATGATTACATCCTAAGTGTCATGCTTCTAGTCATGCAAGTTAACCAATGACTTAAATTCTACCAAGTCACTGGTTTTCCTGGCTAGATCAGACAACCCATTCCATGCTCTAATAGCACTAGGGATGAAGGAGCATTTGTACACATTTGTCTTAGTATATGGAACGATGAATGTGCCTTTATCTTTGTGTCTGAGGTTTGAGTCTTCCTTCAAACTGATGCCATGATATCAGTGCATGCACTGAACAAGTGTTGGCCAGCTTGCCCGGGATGTTTGAACTCTGAAAATCCAGGTTCAGAGACATTATGGGCTAAAAATATTTTGATCAAACATCTAATTGAGTTCAGAGCATTTGAATACCAAGGCACCAGTTTTTTAAATATTTTATTGTCAGGGAATTACCCAGAGAGAAAAATAACATTACATGCTTTTGTTTAATAATAATTGGTCATTCAAAATTGTGAATGCAGACATGAAAGAAATTCTTGTAGTGAAAAATTGTACTAATAGTCTACTCAGAAACGAAAGTCGGAAATTATTTCCAATGATTTATTTTCACAACTTTTATTTGTGACTACATCACTTGTCAAATGTATTAACTTGTGAATGAATTATTAAACTACAGTCAAACTTCATTCTGTCAAACTTTAAAGATATATGTTGGACTAGTTGTATGAGATTCAACTAGAGCCAAAAGTATATCCCAACTTTTCAATGGCTTAACTGGCATAAAGAAATTAGCCTGGGTAAAATTGAAAATTTAACAAAGCAAGGTTTGATTGTAGACTTAGTTAACACATAACTTGAACAGATCCTGTGCACTGTGATAATTCTCTGGTTGTAGGCTGAGGTGGAATGTAAATTTGTAAGACATTAATTTTACAACATCAGCAACAGTAAAAACTAGAAAATATATGAAGTGGTCTAAAGTTATTGACAATAACATTGTAAGTTTGTCATGGAGCAATGTCGCAAAGTTACAATAGAATGTGACATTGTAACATTGACATTGTTAGATAACTGATCAGAAAGCCAGATAATTACATGAAAATAAGATTGTCAAATACCAAAAGAAGTGCTTCTCAAATAATATTAATATAATGTATTTATTAGCAAAAACTTTTAGGGGCTATTTTTATCTTTTTTTATATGTTATGGTACTTCAACATTTCATTATGAACAGAAGATTTTAGTTTACTGTTGAGTACATAAAAGGTTATTGTTAACATTTTTTTAAAAAAAGACATGGTCTTACTTTCAGCTTGAAACCTAATTTTTTAAAAATGCTTTTAAAAAAACATTAAAATCTCTTTACAAAAACACTTTTTTTTTGTCAATTTGACTTCATTCTAGAAATAACATATACAATTTGCATAATAATGTGTCATTTAAAATGTTTAAAAACTCTTTTTAGTACCAAAGTGTATCTGAGAAGATTAAACACTTAAACATGGTGGACAACAGAGTTTAAAGAAACTAAAAATTTAGATTGAAATTGAATTTAGTCTATAGACAACAAACCACTTGTAGTGCTGGACACAAGGTACAACCCAGTTTGAGAAACACTGCTCTAGAAAATTGACGAGGGGGAAAAAGATTCAGCCAATTATGTCTTTACTGTCTGTGTTAATTAAACAGGTGACATCATGATGTCAATGTTAGTTTATTAAGACAACATCATGATGTCCATGCCTTGAAAGGTCAAAATGACATCATGATGTCAGTGTTGAGAAACTTCAGTCGTGTTCACAATGAACATTGTGCTGGTGGTTACAGATCCTCAGGTGAGTGTCGTACAGCGTTCCCGCAGGACAGTTCATGCGGAAAGCTCCCATGCTGTTGTCGCTGGAAGGTGTGCACAATACAAAGTGATGACAAGAGTGCGGGTCAGCGTGGATTCCCAGACCAGCACTGTGGCAGTCAAAATCTGGATAAGATATACAAGATTGATAATATTATTATATTCATAAAATAGTTGTTTGTTTTTAAAGCTAACCTATATAAGGCAATGTTTTTGGATACCAAAGATTAAGGATGAGTGCAGTGTTTCAAATTACTTTGCAAACCCAGTTGCAACCTGCATATTTTGCCAAATCTTGTGCAGACAAAGAAGTTATCTGCCAAGGTATATTTAAGTTTTCTTGTCATTTAGACAAGGGTAATTCTTTTAGGCTTAAATATGTGTCTCAAGACCTATGTGACAGCTAACCTTCTAGATCAGTTAATGCAAAAAGTCTACACTATAATATTATCAGATATTGGACTATAGGAAATAAACCAGAAATCAGACTTTCAAAAACAGACCAAACTTCACTGTATCTTGAATGTCCATATGCTTGAATTTTTAAAATGATAATGGCAATTAAATTCTCAATTGTTTATTAATAATTAAATACAATTCAAAATGGTGAAACAGGAAATAGAAATAAAATGGTTTGGCTAAAAGTGTACAAGAAGTCTACTCTGGAAAAATATTTTTAAAATCTCACTAAAATCTCATTAATTGTTAACATCTGCCACATCAAATACTGTAGGAAGATCCTAGAGAAACTCACGAATCAGGATCACAAAGGCAAATGGGCCCTATGCTAACCTGCAGTCCAGTCAGAAAATCCAACCTTAAACTGTATCACTGTATCACCATATCACAAGGTCCTCAGAGCTCACAAATACCTTCCAGCAGGGAACAGTACCAGGAAAAAGAAGAAGAGGCAGACAGAGAAAATGATGGGATGACAATTTTAAAGAATAGATGGCCTGTCATTGAAAGAGATTCTAGTTAAGGCAAAAGGCAGAGAGGAATGGAGAAAGAGGTTCACAGATCATGTGTGTTGCCTCAATGGTAATATACAGTCTAAGGGTTAGGTGAAGGTAAATCCACAACAGGGAAGGTCTGATTTGAGAACATAGTATATATTTTGTAATCCCTTTCATTAGTTCTATATGGGTTTGGGTTATATGCTATATTGATGAGGTGAAGAGTAAAAGCTGGAATAACTTGAAACTTACCAATGCTTGATGCTTCCTCATAATAATATTCAGGGCCTTCAGACTCTTCATGGCTGACTTCATGAGACTGATGTTGTTCATGAGACTGATGTTGTTCATCTGAAGAATGTTCAGAGGAGGAATGAGAAGATGAGGAGAAGGAATGGTCATGAGCTGAGAGTGGTGATGCTGCTGCTGAAGCTGAGTGGGAATGGCTGTGGTCGATGGAAAGGGTTTTTTGGACAGAGGCAGACTTCACCTCTGGAAACTTGAGATTAGCTGAGGTAGAGGACTGAGTGAACACTTCATAAATTGTTCTTAGCATGGGGTACTTTGGTCCACCACAGTGCCCATTGAAGTCATCCATTTCAACTGACCATACGAAGGCACCTCCGAGACCTTCTTTAATGATTGTAATACCCTGAAACAGAAAAGTAAAATATTTGATTTTGATAAGTGTTTGTTTATATAGGTGAGGCAAACTAGAGTCAATAAGGTCAGAGTTAATTATACATAAATATAACTAGTAGTCTAGTAGAATGAAGAGTGCTAGATCTATAATGCCAAAAAAAGAAAATGGCTTTGGGGCACACTTTTAACCTTTTGGCATCAAAGAGAAGATACTATGAACCAATAACAAAAAGACACAAGTACTCTTTTGTTCCCATGGCAGTTAAATTATATTGAATAAAAGCCTATTGCAAATTGTAAACTTCACATGTACAGTATGAATAAGACTCATATGACTATACACTCTTTACACTAATGACATAAGAAGCATCTATGACTCAGTTAAACTCATTAAATTTGCTGATGATACTGCCATAGTCAGTCTTATTTCAGGAGACGAAACTCAGTATCGAAGCTCGATAGAAGAGTTTACAAACTGGTGCACTGACAACTTTCTAGAACTGAATGTAACAAAAGCTAAAGAACTTATAATAGATTTTAGAAAGAAAAAACAAACTATACGTGAACTGCAAATAAACACTACATCTATAGAACAAGTAAAGGCATATAAATATCTAGGCGTTATCATCAACAACAAGCTTTAATGGGAAGACCACCTTGGAACTCTGACAAAGAAAACAGCCCAGCGAGTCTTTTTTCTATACAAACTCAATAGCTTTAAACTAAACAAGAAGATCCTTGAGACTTTTTACGGCGCGACTATACAAAATCTTATAACATACGGAATAACTTGTTGGCAAGGCAACACCCATCTAAACTGCTGCGAAGTCTAGAAAACATCATTAAAAAAGCATCAAAAATTACACTGACAACATTACCACATTTAAAGGAACTTTTTGAACAAACGTGCCTAAGAAAAATCGAAAAAATCTTGGAAGACAACAGCCACCTGCTCCACCAGAACTACGTCAGGTCATCGCGAAGTGGGCGACTGCTGTCAATCAAAACAAGAACGGAGCG